GGATACAGAGCAGGCAGAGCCAGTGCCCTGCGAGAGGGGGGGCGGTCCTGGAGGCAGCAGGTGCAGAGGCCTTTTCCTTAAAGACCAGATGGAAAGGAACAAGAGGGATTCCAGAGAAACTAGGGATAAACCAAGGGTAGGGAGCCCATCGTACAGTAGATCTCATCATTCCCAGAGATTTGGCTACTTGCTAATATTTACTTGTCACCTCCAGATCAATACTCCTGGTGCTTCTGAGTCATTCTAGGATGTTCACAGAGTGACAGAGATCTGCCCACGTTCCCAAGCGAGCTCATTCAAGGCCATCTGCCCCCGTCTCCGCTCCCATGTTGTAAACGAGTGTCCTTTTGCGGTCTACTTAGTGCCGTGTTTTTTGCATGTCTGTACTTTTTCTTGCTGATTTTGCTGTTTAAAATGGCCCCCACGTGTAGTCCTGAAGTGCTCTCGTGTCCTGAGCATGAGAAGGCTGTGATGTGCCTTGCGGAGAAAATACATCCGTGGGATAAGCTTCCCTCAGGCACGAGTGACAGTGCCATTGGCTGTGAGTTCAGTATTAATGAATCAACCATATGTATTACATAAGACGCCTTTCAACAGACACACACATAAAACAAGCATACTGATTACTGGACAAAATGTGACCAAAGGCTGGTAGGAACCTAACCCTGTATTTCCCGCAGGAGCCGTGGTTCAGGATTTGCTGATTCAGCGTCTGCAGCCACTTTATAGAACATCATTACTGTGAGTAACGAGAACGCACTGCACTTGGTGGGGCAATTGGTAGGCATGTGCTGTGAAGGAGCATCAGAGCAGGGTGTGAGACGCCAGATTTCCACCTCCGGGCGCTGGCTGGGCTTGTCTATCTTATGTGTGGGGGGCAGGGAGGGTGTCTGGCTTCCCCAGCAGGTGGGCTGTCATGGAAAATCATGACAAGAGGCTGTGACTAATAGGCTTCATTTCTGAATACTGAAATCACTCAACAGGTTCACCAAAGAGGCCCAGGTTCTAGGGTCACCTCCCTACATAGTCGCTGGCGGGTAGGTATGCTGTTAACATTGCCGGTCAATTCAGGTTTTGGCCTTCCAGGTGTGCTTTACTCCATAGGTGCTTCACCCAACACGTGACAAATGTTTCTTAAACAAATGATCCTTGAGGTTTTGCCCTCTTGTGCTATTTTCTAAATGTGTAGATAGTGACATGAGGTCAAGTAATTCAGGAAGAAAAAGAGGTGCTTTGGGGACAGACAGACATCGGGAGTTAATCCTAACCCAGCACCAGCTCTGAGAGGAGGGGCCTCCAAGGCCTTAGCTTCCTCATCTACAGAACGGAGATATAGTGATAAAACTTCACTTAGATGGTTGCAAGATTTACGTAAGGCAACGTAGGTGGAAGGTCCAAACACAGACCCAGGCACCCTTAAGAGCTCTGATCTTCATGGGTGCAGAGCCAGGCACGAAGTGGGGATTCGATGAATATTTTTTGGACAAATGGATCAAATCAGGAGACTGATTCTTTTCACCATGCAGTTATTGACAAAAGACCTCTCTAAGAACTGCTGCTCTGGGCCATAGAGCATAGGAATTCCACACTAATAGTTCCACGCTAATTGATCATTGCCACAAAAAGGAAAGAGTGTCACTCACGCTGCTGTGGTTTGGGTGGCGGCAGAGTGGTTTGTGGTCTTCAGGCCACTACGTCATGCAAAAGTCAGAGCTGGGCCAGCTCTAAAGATCAAGAAAGTGTGAAGCTCTCAGACAGATTTCTTGTGACATGAGAGCTGGGACCTGATCTTCCCCTGTTCCTATTTTAGGGTAGCAAATAAGAAAAAGCATCTCAGACCTCTTTGTTTAAATACTCCCTTTCACTACCCACACCTACATATTAAACGATTTTCTAGCAATCTGAAAGAATCCTAGACCAGCGGTTGTTAAATTACAAAAACACTTCCTCAGCTCCTAATTTGTTGCAGAAACTGAGCTAAGCTCTGAGGATTCTGTGATTCTCAGCGAGCTGAAGTCTCTGCCTTCAGAAAGATCCCCACAGGAAACACGTCATCCACAGTTTGAAAAGAGTTGTCCTGAACTTGTTCCCACATTGGTTCGTTCCTTCCTTTCAACCTGAGGGAACCCTTATTATAGTCTAGGCACTATTTTTAGCGTTAGGAACTAGACAATGGATATTGTTATTAATAACTTAGTATAGACATATTATTAACTGTATTTTTCATGTTATTAAACTAAAATAATAAAGATGACAAGGTAACACATCCTAAAAGAGCTCCTTGTCTAGCAGGGACTAAAGCAAATAAAATAATAATCATAAATCTTTGAAGAACTGAGCCCGAGAGTTTAGGGACTATGTCACTCTCCCAGCTCCTAAGTAGCAGAGAAAGCTTGGAAAAGGATTCCAGACACAGTGGACTGGCTCTTCACTGGACCCCCTGTGCTGGCCTTATCTTAGGATTCTAGGAAACTCAGAGCACAGTGTGGAAACCGGCCCCGCTGAGGGTCATGGCAGGGCAGGGATATAACTGGGACATCAAGGTCAATGTCCAGGCCAGGGCGGCAGTGTTTGGCCTTTAGTCTGCGCTGCCTTTAAGGAGACATTTTTTAAGCGATCAATTTCTTTACAGAAGTCAGATCATAAATTTATATTGGGATATATGTATGTGTATATATATACGTTTATATATACATATATATATATATATATATATATATATATCTCCAATATAATCATTAATAAATAACATACAGCCAGTCCATTGAGAATTCTATTTTCTCCTGCTGAGGATGTTCTGTAAAGCAAAAAGAAATCATTTAAGTTTATAAAAAAAGAAAATGCTGAGTCTGTTTCTTTGTAATGAGTACTTTCTTGATTTCAGCCTGAAGCTGGTTTTTATTTTTAGGGTGTGTATAGATTCAAAAGAAAGCCTACCATTTGCATCTTTTATCCAACACAGCCTCACTGGTAAATTTCCCTTCGATTTTAGGAAAATGTCAGTTGACCTCTTTCAAATTCCGGGGTTAAAAATTTATCATACTAGGCTTAGCTGAATTTTTTGATAACAGAAGGTCAAGAACCCAAAGTGAGAATCTGTCATCCACTCAGAAAATACTTCCAGAATGCTTGCTGGGGGCCCGGCTCTGCGCGGGGCCATGGGAGATGCTGGCGACAGAAATTGTCTCTCTCCTCGCCTCGGATGAGGACTTTAGGGAAGCCATAAGGGGATGTATCTCTGACGTGCGGAGACCCCTTGGGGAAGAAACGCTGAGCTGAGATGTAAGTGAGGAGGAATTAGCCAGGTGGATGTTCCAGGTAGAGGTCTGATCAGGAGGAACTGCAGGTCTTTCAGTTTTGCAGGAGCTTCAGGGCTGGTGGCCTTGGGAGAGATGAGGCTGGAGAAGTGGGCAGGGGCCGGATCACGAAGCCCTTTGCAGGCCACGCTAGGGAGTCTGGACTTTATCCTGAAGGCATACAGTGTTACGTAAACTGTAAAACCCATGAAAGCCCAAGCTTCATGGTTAACTTGTGTGTGTGTATGTAAAAATGAATGTACACTGAATCCATATCTATAATTACATCCAACAATTCCTTTTAAATGTGCCTTTCGTCATGTTCCTTTAGTACTTGGGAGCCTTTAAAAAGACAGAGCTGCCTTTGCTCCAGTCCCTAGTAGCTGCAGATTTATATATGCATGAGGCAGTGGTGCTCAGTGTGGGTTTGCAAAACCAGGACTCAGCCTCCAGCACTGGGGCAAATAGGCTGTTCTTCCTCCTGGCTCAGGGTCTGCCTCTGCTTTGCTATATAAGTGAAGTGAGCCTTAGGGGGTTAAATGGAGAAGGATCAGAGTCTCCTCTGCATTTCCAGATAAACCTGAGGGCAGCGTGCAAGGTGGACAGCGTGGAATCAGGACCCGAGGCAAGATCTCAGGCAACAGGTCAGTGGTGACGGTGATGAAACGATGGGCTAAAGCCAGAGAAAATGTGTGGACCCCTGTGGATGTCGGGAGAAGATGAAGGGTAAAGAAGGGCCAATGATTGTAATAACCTATAATGGGAAAGAATCTAAAAAAGAATATATGCATACATATATATATATATATATATATAATATATATATATACTGAATCACTTTGCTGTACACCTGAAGCTAACACAACATTGTAAATTAACTATACTTCAGTAAAAATTTTTAAAAAGAGCCAATGATACTCTAAAATTTTGAGCTGGAGAAAATTCAGTGGATGCTGATGCCGTCTATCAAGACAGGGAGCTGAAGAGGAGGCTAGTTGACCTTCAGGAGCCCAGGGATGCTCTCTGCAACTGCATCCAGTGGGCCGGTGATGTTAGAGCCTGGAGGTCGGGATAGAGTAAGGTGAGCGATGTGTGTTTGGAAGCAATCAGTGATCAAGTCAGGCAAGTGGAATAGACGGCAGTAATCTATAGAAGAAGGAAAGGACTGGGCAAAGGAGACCAGACAAATGGTCACCAGGATTGAAATGACTGATTAAGAAAAGGAAGGCAGGTTAGATGCTAGAGATCTGAAAGATGACTATCCAGTTTGCAAAAAGCAGAAAAGTGAATGGGAGGTGGGAAGGTAGCGGCAGCAGTCACAGACCACAATTTTGTCAAGATGCTTAGCAGAGAAGGAAGTAGGGAGGGAAGGCAGCTGTTGAGATGGGGAGACTGGGTCAGAGAAAGGGGGCTGTTCTGTTTGTGGTTTGTTTTTCTTAGAGAAATTTGATCACATCAACAACGGCACATATAAAAGCCATGGGAAAAAGACTGAGGGTGCAAGAATGAAGAGACAGTCGAGGATCAGTATTTGGGAGGAGAGAAGAAAAGGTGGGAGGCCAGACAGGAGCTGAAGAGCAGACTACAGACGCTGCAGGTGTGGAGACCGCAGCTTTAAGACATCCCCACCCTCCAACCCCCCCGCTGGTAGCTTCCATCTCTACATACACGTGTTTTTAGCTGTGTCCCCTTACCTGAAGGCTGTCACTCAAAGCCAGTGTTTATTCTTGCTCTGGGCCACAGGTTCAGGCCCCTTCTATTTCCAGGAGGAAAGCCCCTTCTCATGATCCCTGAAGACAGAAAGGGAATATACAGGCTCTGTCATTCACATCAAAATCTAAGACAACATGGACTTAGTGACTATAAATTAATGACAGAGCCTGTGACCAGCACCACCAGAGCCCCTGCTGCCAAGAGGCTACCCAAGAACACCATGACCTCATCTTGCTTATCAACTTCTCCCTCACTCTCGCCCGCACGGTGTGACAGCTGAACCCCCAGCCACACGCCTTCGAGGGCAGGGACTGTCACATTTATCTTTCAGTCCTCTGAGGGATCTGCCCAGGGCTTGTCACACACATTTGTTGAATTAAATTGAATTGTCATGTTCAAAGCAGTCTCTGAGTTGGCTGCCCCTCTGCGTCAATGAAGGTCCCAATGCCCAAAATGTTTTTAGAATTCAGCTCTGGAATTACCTTCCAAGGAATATAAAAAGGATCAGTCGCATTAATTTATATCTATATAATATTTTTTTTGTCCCAAATGACATTTTCTCAGAGTGGTAGCCAGCCTCAGAGATGGCCCGCTGGTATTCACACTCTCGGGTATTCCCCTCCCACATCGGACCAGGGTTGGTCTGCGTGATTAATAAACTATGCAGAAGTGATGCTATATCCCTTTCAAAATTAGCTAATAAAAGACTGTGCCTTCTGTCTTGGGTGCTCTGTTGCTTGTTCATTCTCCTCTCTCTCTCTCTCTCTCTCTCTCTCTCTCTCTCTCTCTCATCATCATGTTCTCTGGCAGAAGCCAGCTGGCATGTTTTCAGGACATTCAGACAGCCCAGTGGAAAGGCCCATATGGTAGGAAACCAAAGCCCTCATTCCAATAGCCCCTGAAGAACTGAGGCCTGCCAACCACCACGTGAGTAACCTTGGAAGTGGATTCCTCAGTCCCAGCTAAGCCTTCAGATGAGATCACAGCCACAATCAACATCTTCTCTACATCATTTTAGAGACCTTGAGCCAGAAACACCCAGCTTGGCTACTTCCAGGTTCCTGACCCTCAGAAACTGTGAGCTAATAAATGTTTGTTGTTTTAAGCTGCTAAGTTTTGTAGTAATTTGACACGTAACAATAGATGACTAATGCACCCAAGTTGGCTATTAATCTGATTAACTGAATTTATTTCCAAAATTAAATCCAAGAGCACATGTTTTCCATCACTACAGAGATTCAAAAGAATGAGCCCTAGACTTGGAAGATAATTCCTAAAAAAATTGTTCAAAAATGTTCTCAGCAGTGGTCACATTTTTAGAATAACTGTATTTCTCCCCAAGTGGCACATTGGAGGGGGTCTAAACTCAGGCCCTTTTTTAAGCAAGCCTCAGATTGTAAGCTTTAGTACTTCAAATAAATTCGGAAAAAGCCTAAGGATGGTCAGACACTGAGCTCAATGAAACATTAATATCTGTGTTATTCATTTTAATGGAGAACTCTGATCAGAGGGTAAATTTCACAACTCTTCTGTAAAGCAGCATGAAAAAAACAGAGGCTTTAGAGTCTGACAGATCTGTCTCTAAGTCCTGTCTCTGCCCCTCTCTACCTGGATCAAAGTCCTACGTTGGCCGTGTAGCCTTGGACAAGTTACAGAAACTCATTAAACCTCAGTTTGCCCATCTACAAAATGGGAAGGAACATAGTGTTGCCTCTCAAGATGGTTGTGAAGCTGAAGGAGAAAACTGTCAAGCAATTAGTAGAGAGTTAGTATTTTGTGTCTACAACAAACAACATGAGTTGTTACTCATTTCTTCTGTGTCAGCAGATAAGACACCTGGTTTACAGTGCTCTCATGAAGGTTAAATGAGAAAAGTGATCGTAAAAGGGAGAAACTAAATAACTGTTAGTTCTGTCTGCTTGCTCAAAAGTACAGTTGAGGTTGGAGGGCAAAGAGAAGTTGAAAAGAGTTTGGATTTTTCAGAAAATGCTCCAGATTGGGACAGGAGGCAGGTGAGTGCTGATTTCCTCAGCTAGATTTGATATTTTGATTCCTGACAAATTTTAAGTGAGTTTTGATGCCTCAAAGTTAGCTTTTCAATGATTTGCAAAGCTGGTTTATGAAGGACTGTTCTTTTTTTTTGCATTTACCCTTAAAATATTTTGCATTTCAGGGGTTTATCTCTTATGACATGACTTCAGCGGAGTCTGGCTTGATCAGAAAAGGATGTGTTCGGTGTCCTACAGAAGAAAACAGGAACACTTAGCAAGTGACCGTTCATAAAATGGCTCACTTTTTGATCTGTCAGGAGTGAGACCTGTAACGCAGTAACAGTCATAAGGCAGGCCCCCTCTGCCCACTTCTGGAATGTTCTAGGACTTTATTACTGATGCCACAAATACGCTTTTCCAGGAAGGAAGCAGTGAGAGATCACCAAAGAGTTTTGCTGCCATCAGCTCCAATAGAAAAAATCCTCCTATCTACCTATTTTACCAATAGGTAGAAATGTTTCCTAAGCCATAGAACACGAACTCAATCCCACTTCCAATGAGAGACCACTTAAGAAGGGGAAAAAAAGAAAGCCCTCCCTCCCCGAAGCAAGATTCTTAATGGGATGGTCACCTCTGCTCTTATGGCTGGAGGATTACAGAATTCAGCCCCAGCCAGTCAGATGAGGTTTAGTCCAGATCCTTCCACCTACACACTGTTTCATACCTGGCTCCTAAAACTGGTCGTGCACCCAGGAGGGAACAAGCGTGCTCAAGCTGGGGGACCCTCTTATGGTAAAAACCAACACCTGTCCTGCCTAACTGGCAGAGATGTTGGGACATGAAATGGAATCATATATGGAAAGGCTCTGCATAAATACAGAGTTGCCTAAATGAAGAGGTGTAACATTACTGCCTACTGTTAAGAAAGGAGCAAAAGCAAATGTTTATTTTCTGTGGTTTCTGTAATTGTTCAAAGCTTATGTACAGATATTTCTAGTTTTAAATGACTCCTTGATAGAGAGCTTCAATATGAAGTTGATTCACACACACACACACACATATATGTAAATTAAAAAGAACGGATCTCAACTTACCAAGCAGATAACTGTTTCTTGAGGTAGAGGATCCCAAGATATCTCCCAAAACCAACTAAGTAAATGTAGGCATTAGTATGTATCAGCACATGAAAGAGAGGAAAAGGAAGGACACTGCAAAATATGCAAATATTGTCAGGAGGACTCAGATGTATTATGTAATTTATTTTTAATGAAATAAGGCAATACATTACATTAAATAACTTTATATGGTATTGAACATGTAATGTCTAAAAAAGCATGTGGGGAAAAGCAACTTACATGAAGTTTAAATTGTCTGAAAACGTTTCCGTTAGACTCAAAATGACCCCCAATTGTTGTGGATGAGAAAGACGGAACCTCGTTATATGGACTTGCAAATCAACTGTGTTTAGGTCAAATTTGTGAGTTTTCTCTCTATGAAGTCCCCATATGTGTTCAATTAAAAAAAAATCAAAAAGTGTGCACGAGTAGTCTTCATGAAGCCACTGAAAGCCCATAGTCACAAAGTAAGGTGGCTACTTGACTCACAACCTTTCTACAAGGTGTCTGGGCCACCTACCTGTTACCCTCTCCATCGTGAACAGTCAGTTAGCCTGCTGGCTTTTGTCAGAGTGATTGGTCTAGCAGGTGGCACAGTTTAGTGGGGGAAAGAATAATCTTTTCAATAAACGGTGCTGAGACAACTGGATATCCACATGCAAAAGACTGAGGCTGGACCCCTTCCTAATCAAAATGGACCATGCATCTAAATGTAAGAATCACACAAACAACAAAAGAAAAAAATGGATCAATTGGACTTCATTAAACTTTAAAACTTTTGTTCTTCAAAGTGCACCATAAAGAAAGTAAAAAAAAAACCTCACAGTTGGGAGAAAATATCTGCAAATTTTGTGTCTGATATGGAACTTATATACAAAATATATAAAGAAGTCTTACTACTCAACAAAAAAAGACAAATAACCCAATTTAAAATTTGGCAAAGGAACTTTTTTTCTTTTTTGGTCACTTTGCACAGCTTGCAGCATCTTAGTTCCCCAACCAGGGATCAAACCTGCGTCCTCGGTGGCAGTGAAATCGCGGAGTCCCAATCACTAGACCGCCAGGGAATTCCGACAAAGGATTTGAGTAGATGTTTTTCCAAAGAATATAAACAAATAGTCAATCATTGCTCATTAGGAAAATGCAACTCAAAACAATAATGATGCACCACTTCACACCCATTAGAATGGCTAAAATTAAAAAGACAGACAATGATAAGTGTTCATAAGGATGTGTAGAAACTGGAACCCTCATACATTGCTGGTGGGAATGTAACATGGTACAGCTATTATGGAAAACAGCGTGGCAGTTTCTCAAAAAGTTACACACAGAGTTACTTTACGCCCCAGAAATTCCACTCATAGGTAAATACCCAAGATAAATAAAAATATACGCCCACACAAAAACTGGCACATGAATGCTCACAGCATCATTATTTACAATAGTCAAAAAGTAGAAACGGGGACTTCCCTGGTGGCGCAGTTAAGACTCCACGCTCCCAATGCAGGGGGCCTGGGTTCAGTCCCTGCTCAGGGAACTAGATGCCACATGTCGCAACTAAGAGTTCTCGTGTCGCAACTAAGGAGCCCGGCAGCTACAACCAAGACTCAGTGCAACCAAATAAATAAATAAATAAATAAATTTTTTTTTAAAAAGAGATATGTATAAAAAAAAAGTAGAAACAACCCCCATTTTGATCAACTAATGAATGGATAAATTAAATGTGGCTTATCCATACAATGGATTATTATTCGACAATGAAAAGTACTGATACATGCTATAACATGTATGAACCTCCAAACATGCTAACTAATATAAACCATTCACAGAAGAACACATATTGTATGTTTCTATTTATATGAAATGGCTGGAAAAGGTAAATCTATAGACAAAGAAAGTAAATTAGCGGTTACTAAGGGCTGGAGAGGACGAGGAACAGGGTAAGGGGTCTTAGGGTTTCTTTTCCGGATGATGAAGTGTTCATGATTTAGATAGTGATGAGAGTTGTACAACCTCATGAACATACTAAAAACCACTGAACAGTACACATTAAAGGGGTGAATCGTATGGTCTGTGAATTATTGGGTTGGCTAAAAAGGTCGTTCGGCTTCTTCTGTAACATCGTATGGAAAAACCCGAACGAAATTTTTGGCCAACCCAATTTATTTCAATAACAGTGTTATTAAAAAAAAAAAATGGGACACATGACCTAAGATAGGACAATGGGAATAATACCAAGAGGTATCTCCAGCTGGAGCTAGAGAGAAGTGCTCTGTTTCCTCCTAAGTTTAGAGGATATGAATCTGGAGTGGTTTGCAGTCTCGCCTCCAGTTACAAGGAGAAAACTCATCTGCAGTAAGGGGAGGAGGGACGGAGAAGGAAAAACATGAATGTGGCCCAGATAGTGTTGACAGTCACTAGATTGAGTTGTCCAAGAGGACAACTCCTTCCTCTCCTTTCTGGGAACGTGAGCCAGGGAATTAGCTCATTTTGGCTTAGGTCGCTTCTAGTTGAATTTCTATCATTTGAAATGGGAGAGAGTAAATAAATGAAAGGCCTGTAACTCTCCTCCCCCGAGTCCAGAATTCCTGTTCACTCTTCCTCAGTTTCTCCTTTTGCACTGTTTTGGGTCTCATGGCTGAAACTCTAGCCAAACCTCATCCCATCCACTCGAAATCAGAAGGATTTGTCCAAAATCAAGTCCATTCATCATCCTACAGATGTTAGCATTTCGTCGTGTGGTTGACTGAAGCGCTGTATAGAAATCGTTTATCCTCTACATGCTTCTTTTTCAAAATTAAAAAAGAAAAATAAAAACTGCCCATAATTGAAATATTTATTTGGTTAAGAGAGAATATTAGCAATTTTAGAAATGTATTTGCTCAAATCTTTTTACAAAGCATTTATACTTATTAAAATTATGTAGTGGAAAACCTGAATGTTTTTATATTAGAGACGCTTTCTCTCATTGTATGCTTACCAGATATTTTCCATTTGAGCTAAGTCCTATTTCGTAATAATTAGGGTGTTTGGTCTTGCTCTCCATGGCTTCCATCTTTCTTCACATTATATTCCTTCCTCTGGAAATTCCTTTACTATCTACATATGTTTTTCAAGTGGCCTTTATGTTCATTACTCTGGGATATTTTTTTTCAGTTTTCTTTCTTTTATTCCCTACTTCCAACAATGATTTATTTGTTCTATGTCTAAATTCATTCCAGTCAATTGTCTTTCATGTTTGTAGTATCATCATTTATTTCACTGAAAATGGTTAACAGCTGTCGTCTAATTTTTTTTTCTGTTTCATGTAAGAAATCTATTTTAGAGTTGCCAGGAATTACTTTAAATCTCCATCTGCTTTCTTCTCCTTCTTTCGAATTGCAGAATCCTTTAATTTAAGGAATTTTTTCTTTGCTCATCATCCTTTATGATCTCCTAGTCTTTGAGGCAAAGCAACCTGGGAGTTTATTTTAAAATCTTGTTTGTTTCCGGGACTAACTTAACTTAGTATCAGAGTCTTCTTACAAAACTTGGGACTGGAAGAAAAGTGAGTAGTCTTCAGTCTGCAGTTAGAAAGTTGCAGTAGGTTTGTGGGTTGTGCAAACAATCAGAATCAACTTTCCAAATCAACTTTCCATCTCTTTCCAAAGAGATGGAAGAGGGGTTAAATTAGGGGGCCACTTATTAACTTCTAATGTGTTAAAGGTCATAGAAGAACAGGCATCCATTTCTCTCGACATTCACCACTAACTCCTAGCTCTACTTGGCACTCTCTCTCACCTGCCCTGCCAGCCTCCCAGTGCCCCCATCCATTCTTACCTAGTTCCAGTCTGTTCTTCATCTATTCTGTCACTTCCCTACTTATAACCCTTGACTAGCCCCAAGCCAAGGATCCTTGACATGACCCATGAGGTCCACCTTGACCAGACTGGTGTCCTCTCCAGCCCCACCCTTATGCCTCTCTTCTCATATTTTTCTCCCAGTCATGATGGATTTCTGTCCATTTGTACCCATCAGCTTAGCTTCCCTCACACATCAGGGAACTCCGTCAGGCTCTCCCCTGTGCTGGGAATCTCCTCATCCTTCCCCTCCACACCCTGTGCCCTTTGTCCTGAGGTCACCCACCCTTCAGCCCCCCAGGGAAAGCTCGCTCTGACCCCACACGCTATTGCATCCTCTTGCTACGTGCTCCCGAAAGCTTGCCTGGTAGTCAAGGTAACCCCTGCTTAATGGACACTCCCAGACTCATCCACAAACCCCACAAGAGCCAGAGCAGTGCTTTTCTTGCTCTCCACTGTCTCCTAGCTTCCCCCATGCAAACCACAAATCAATACGCATGAAATGCTTGTGACATGATGCTTGGTCCCTGTCACTTCTGGGTTAGCTTGGCCAGGCGTGGGCCACTGTGTCAGCTGTGAAGCATGCCTTACATCCTGGATACTTTACTGGAGTCGAGGCCCTGGGTACCTGAACTAGCAGCAAGGAGATAGGATCCAGAAATCTCCTGGGGATTGACCCTCAAAAGTTGCCAGTGAGAACGAGATTGATCAATAACCTTATGCCCAACTGAACATTTTTGCAGAATTCTCCTTCCAACAGTGAAAACACCCCTGCAACAGGAGTTTCTCACTCCCTCCTAACTCTAAAATGGACTTCCGTATAAAATATGGAAGTCCTGGGTATGTTCATAATAGAGGAACATTACTTTTATGTGTAATTCTTGAAGTTGAAATTGTATACTCTTTTCATGTAATTTTCACTACAGATTTAAATCTTGAAAAAATTAATAAAAATATACGTAGAGAAAGATGTCATTGGACAGATTTGGCTGTCTAATGGTAGAAACAATTTTTAAGTAGCAGTCAAAGATATTATCCATTATGAATAAACAACGCCATAGTTACGTTTTTATCCCAAATTAGAGTCTAGAAGCTTCCTCCTCATATCATATTCTTGACAATTTCTTCCTCATTTTTCTTGTATTCATTCAAGTATTGACTGAACATCTACCCTGTATCAAACCTTGTCCTAGATGACAAAACACACATTCCCTGCCCTCATTTGATGTACATTCCAGTAAGGAAAGCAGTCAGTACACAGACAAATAAGTAATATAATTCCAAGTCAGAAATGTATATATTACTGATTTCACAGCATTATTGCAGATGAATATCAGTGCAATTGAAGGAAAAAAGATGTGTCCTGCCATTTGCCAAGCATCTATTACGTACCAGATTCTGGACCAGATCTTTCATGTCCATCCACTTCCTTGGTTTTCTCAACTTCCTATCGGGTGGTCTCTATTACTGGCATTTAACAGATGAAGAAGCTTCAGATCATGGAGATTAAATCTCCTGACCTAGGTTGCAGAGCTGGTAAATGAACACTGATGTATCAAAAATGCCCCTCTTGGGCTTCCCTGGTGGCGCAGTGGTTGAGAGTCCGCCTGCTGATGCAGGGGACACGGGTTCGTGCCCCGGTCCGGGAAGATTCCCACATGCCACGGAGCGGCTGGGCCCGTGAGCCATGGCCGCTGAGCCTGCGCGTCCGGAGCCTGTGCTCCGCAACGGGAGAGGTCACAACAGTGAGAGGCCCGCGTACAGCAAAAAAAAAAAAAAAATGCCCCTCTTCATTCCACTAAAACACAGAGGCAGTGAGATGCATACTTAGATCTAAAACTTTGAAGATTTGCTCATTGTTATTTTAAGCTCACATCCTAAATCTTAGGAAAAGAGAGAGAATTGGAAGAAGTAAGGGATATTGAACATGAGGTTGCAGGTGTAAAAGGGAGATGCCAGCTGAGTCAGCAGAGCTATACCTGAGTGATGCTCCAGCTACTCTGTCACACCGGCCTGCCTGTCACAGACCCACACAGACCCTAAGAGGTAGGTGCTGTCCCAAAGGATGCCAAGCCCCTGCACCTACCTCTTCACTGCTGTTAGACTCGGAGGAGCTGGAGGACCACTGGCAGCGAACCCACACGTCCTGCACCTGCTCAGCAGACACCCACACGGTGCTTCTGCAAGCAACTGCCGGCTGGAAAAGGGGAAGCAGTGAGTTCCATGCCCGGCAGCTGGTAGAAATGGTTACGACCTATCTAAGAAATCAGGCAACACCATAGGGCTTGACGCAATGATGCAGACAGAAAGGAAAAATTCACAGAGACATTTCATTTTTCCAAAATGAAAATTTCTCAAGACCTAAGCAGAAACAAATGATGACTTAAATATCTCTTAGGCTTTTGCTACATTACAAGTCCTGAGGGAAAGAAGATGTTCCCTTCCTGAGCACTGAGTGGGCTCCCTCGAATGCCTTTCCTTTTGAACAACAAGAAATGGGAAGATCTCCCAAGGACCCTGCTCTGCTCTCCCTTGGCCTCAGATTTCATTAGAAACAAATGCTAGTGACACTTGGGTTTGGGACCTTTGTGAAACAGAGCCACAGCGAAAAGTCTCACGAAACAACAAAACAACGGGTCCTCTTTTCAGGATTGACACCCCTGTGTAATGACCCAGACATCACAACGATAAAGTAACAAAACCCTGAGACCTCGTACATCTGAACGAGAACGCCTCGGACAGTGAATTTGGGGTGCCTCCCATCCCTGGGGTTAACCAAGCATGGGGCCATGTGCTGGTCACTGGGGAGATGAAACTGACCACGCTGTGGTCCTGACCCCCATGGAGCCCAAGCTGGTGGAGGAGACAGATGTTATACAACAGTCAACTATAAAACAGTGCACCTCGCACCAGGAACACAGCTGGCATTTTAAATTCATTTAAAATAGAATTTGAAATGTCTCTGGGATTTTTCTTGGCTATTGGCCTCTTCGTATTCACTTTGCCTGGAACCATCATTATCCCTATTTTTAAATAGGAAAGCTGAGAAAGCTGAGGCAGCAGGAGTTAAATAATTTGCCAGGATTACTCAGGACCGCGGACTCCAAGAGCTCGAGTCCTCGACCACTGAGTCACGCCGCCCCTGCCCAGGGGACAGCATGGACACAGTTAGTGGTGCCTCCCAGGGTGTCCAGACGCCAGGCAGTGGCCAAGCCCTTGGTGTGGCTTTGAATCAGGTCCCGGCGATGTAGGAAGACAGGTGCTCCCTTGCGTTGTTTTCTGGGCTGGTGGCCTTTCCCCCGACTCTTACCACGTAGTAGCCCCTCTGGAAGTCACAGGTGGCGGGGTCTTCCCCAGAGCCCCTCCTGCACGTCGTCTCCCGGATGCGGAGCTCTATGTCCATGGTCAAGCTGTCCTCATCCAGGATGTTGACCTTCATGAAAACAAAGCGTCAGTCTGCCATAGATGTGTTTCTGAAGGTCACACGCTAGGAATGTGTCTCCTTGCCCAAGGAGAGAAAGTGACAGAACACCCCACCACTAAAGCTTTCAATTCTCGTGGCAATCACCCAGATCCACGCCCTCATTCTGAAGACCAGGGGAAGAAGGGCTTTACCGAAGGCTCACAAGACTTTACTGAGACAATAGGACCAGAACTTGGGTGTCCTGCCTCCACGCTAAGCACTGCTGCTAATGACTTACATTTATGATGAATCCTCGGGATTTACAGATTCCGTATTTGCAAATTTGCCTACTTGCCAAAATGTACATCTAACCCCAATCAGTGCCGGGTGCCCTCACGGCCACTCATGAAGACACGCTGGGCGGCAAAGAACTTGAGTCGCCAGATGCACGCGCTCCCGACCGGGGTCAGATGAGGTGATGAAAGGCTCAGCCTCTTTGCCTCAGCAGCCAGACCGTACACAAGTCAATTTCATGGTCTATTGTGTGTCACGGTTTTCTCATTTTTGTGCTTTTCCTTGGTGATTTTGCTGTTTAAATTGGCCCCCAAGCCTAGTGCTGACAAGCTGTCTAGTTTCCTAAGCACAGGAAGGCTATGATGTGCCTGACGGAGAAAATACATGTGTTAGCTGAGCTTTGCTCAGGCCTGAGTGACAGCGCTGGTACAGTGAGCTCAATGGTAACGAGTCACCATATATATTAAATAAGTCTTTAAGTGAAAACACACATACAACAAGGGCACATATTGATCAGTTAACCGAAATATTGTGACCAGAGGCTCTCAGAAACCTCACCCTGAATTCCCCAGGATAAACGGCTCAGGATTCACTAAACCAGCGTTCGCAGAATCTTTATGGAATGTAACTGCCGCAAATAACAAGAATCAACTTATTTTAAGTGTCAACGTACGTATGAGATTCAGATTTAATATCTAATATGTAAAAATTATCAATGACCAGGGTCATAAATAATGGCAAGGCTGAGTTTTTAGAAAACTCTACTTGTGTCAGCACTCTTCATCCTGAGTCAGAAAGAGACACAAAGACCCCTCCATCCTGAGCTTGGAGCTAGCCACTTATTTCCAAAGCAAAAGCAAAGTATTTTAAGTGTCATTTTCCTAAAAGAATGCTCCATACTTTCTTAATAATTCCTGAAATAAGTAAGTAGCAAGTACATCTCTGCTGTACAGTGTTATCCAGCCCCGCTTCCCGGTTGATCAGTTCAGATCTATGAATAAGATTACACAGCTTTCCACTCCTTTCCACCAAGGGTGGGATACTGGGGGTACCTTCCAAACTTCCTGATGAGTGTGCTGTTCCGATGACACGGACATCTCCTGACTTACTAAATGCCCACTGTGTGCGCTGCACCAGAAGCACGGCAGGGAAGACCCCACGGAGCTTAGATTCCACCTGGGGCAGAGTGGTGGGGCACCACGCAGCAAACACACTAAAGAAAACTGAACAAGGACCTTCCAGACGGCTATAGAGTTAAGAGTAAAAAATCAACGTGGCAGTGGGGATGGAGAGCAGATAGTTTAGACGAGGCGCCTGAGAAATCCTCCCAAGGAAGGCGTATTTAAGCTGGGACTTAAAGGATGGGAAGGAGCGCGCCAGATAGTCGATGGTCCCATAGCCCGTGGGAACGAGTTTTGACTTCATTCTCATTGCAATGAGAAGTTCTCAGAGGCTTCGAAGAGGTAAGATCTGAGTCACCATGGCTGCTACAAAGAGAGCACACGGGGGCAGGGACAAGATGGCAGCAGGGAGGTGGGCTCCACTGCCTGACCTCACCCCAGGCTCCAAAAACTCCTTCCCTTTGAGCTCTTGAGCCCATCCTTTGGCAAATTTGAGTCAACCCACACATTCACCTACTGCCCAGTGGGGAGAGAGGTGGTGACAGCACTGTGACAGTCGGTGGGACCACTTTCAGGCAGGGAGTAACGGGATAGTTTGCTTTGGAAATAAGTGGCCACAGCTCCAAGCTCGGGATGGGGGCGTCTTTGTGTCTCTTTCTGGCGCAGGATGAGGAGGGCTGATACAAGCCGAGTTTTCTAAAAACAAGTAGGATTAAAAACTCAATCTTGGGCTTCCCTGGTGGCGCAGTGGTTGAGAATCCGCCTGCCAATGCAGGGGACACAGGTTCGAGCCCTGGTCTGGGAGGATCCCACATGCCGCGGAGCAACTGGGCCCGTGAGCCACAACTACTGAGCCTGCGCGTCTGCAGCCTGTGCTCCGCAACAAGAGAGGCCGCGACAGTCAGAGGCCCGCGCACCGTGATGAAGAGTGGCCCCCGCTCACCGCAACTAGAAGAAAGCCCTCGCACAGAAACGAGGACCCAACACAGCGAAAATAAATTAATTAATTTTTTAAAAATTCTGAGATTTAAAAAAACTCATCCTTGCCATTATGACCCTGTTTACTGATCATTTTTACATGTTAGATATTAAATCTGAATCTCTTAAAAAAATTAAAAACTCTTCAGCTGGAGCGCATCAAGCAGGCTCTCCCTGCCAGCCCCCCACCCCCCATCATGCTTCCACAATTTCTTAAAGCAACCTGATGAAAGCAAACTGGCAGGACAAAAGCTTAGTTTAAAAGATGAAAATGCAGGGGGTTTGCGTACTGATAATTTTAACTGTGAGATGATTTTGCAAGCTTTTTGCATCTCTAAGCACTTTTAAGCGCCCTTTCCAGAATATGGAGAAAAGTCAAATAACTCTGCTTTTTCATTTGAATTCACTTTCAGCCAGTGAATTTCTGCTCTGTGTTCTTTGAAAAATGGGGGACAACCCAAATACTCAACCCTAAGGAATCAACTGGAGAAAATCCCAAACCCAGCGTTACGGCTGAAATAAATCACGGTCCTTTACAATCGGTGTTACAGTGTGGTCCTGTTTTTTTAAAAAATATATATTTTATACCCACATATGAAGAGAAAAAAATCCAAAAAGACATCCTGCCGCATGTTCATAGTGGGTGTCTCAGAGGGCTGGATAACGAATGTTGCTCTTGGTTTTCTCTTTCTTGTTGTATCCTGTGACTCTTTATAATAAGTATATTTTGATTTTTTTATTTCAAAAAGAAATAAAAATATACAAGCCATAAAATACCCACAACAGTTCCTTTTGGAGAGTACCATGTTTAACGTTATGTGTCAGTTTAGCTGGGCCACCGTGTCCAGAGCTCTGGTCAAACATTGATCTGGATGCTTCTGTGAAGAGGTTTTTGGATGAGGTTAAAGTGGTGGACTTTGAGGAAAGCAGATTACCCTCCTTCATGTGGGTGGGCCTCATCCAATCAGTTGAAGGTCAGACTAGAGCCGAGACTGACCTTTTTCTCAGCAGGAAGCAATTCTGCCAACAGCCGGCCTTCAGACTTGAACCGCAACGTCAGTTTTTCCCTGGGTCTCCAGCCTGCTGGCCCACCCTGCAGATTTGGGCTTTACCAAGCCTCCACAGTAGTGTGGACCAATTCTTTAAAATCTATCTCTCCCTGTCTCTGTCTGTCTCTGACTCTGTCCATCTCTTCTCTGCTTCTCTGGAGAAGCCTGACTAACACAGTGATCATTTAGGATTTTCAAACTAAGCCCTTATGATTGGACAAAAAGTAAAGCTCAGGTATAGCTGCCTAGCAAAACGTAGAAAGCCAAAAGGCAAAACGTGCAAAGAGGAAAGGTAAAAATGGACAGAAATGGGCGTAGACACGTAAAGGATCCCAAAGCTTCCGTGGCTTTGCCCCAAATATCCCAGAATCCATCTACTCCTCACCTTCCCCACACTAAGAGCCTCAGTTGCCATAGGTCACCATCTGCTTCTCACGGTTGCTGTCTGGGCTTTCTCCTGGCATCCCGCTCCACACAACAGCTGCAGAGATCTTAGAAGGCCTTCTTGCATTTTATTTAAAACCTCCTCCCAACTACCCCCTGCAGGAGGTCCTCCCACGGCTGGAGGTTCTCATCACTGAGTGAGTCTTAGCTCAAATACGGCACCTCTGTGGCGACTTCTCTCCCCTCTGACTGCTGCCCCAGCCCAGGCCCAGCCCATCCATCACCCTGTTTTATTTTCTCCACAGGACTCCCCACTCTCTGAGACTACCTTCACTTATAGAATTTGCACCCCATTCTCCTTTCATCCACTCCCCTCCTCTCCCTCCCCTCTCTCTCTGCAGTGGTATCTGAGCTCCATGGGAGCACGGCCTGGTCCAGCCTCTCTGTTCCTCACCCCCAGCACAGGGCCTGTGTCCACCTTTCCTTTCTCTGCTTGTGTACATTGAGGGAACAGTCTGTGTGTGCCTAGTGTCGATGTTGGAACAAGGAAGTCATCGTGGCTGATTACGTTTCCCCATGCTCTCCCATCCTTTTTAAACCTGGAGCCCAAGAGTTAAGTTACTTACAATCAATGGCAAGAGCATTTGATCCAAGCCCCTGGTAAATCGCAGTGGTTCTTAACCCTGGCTACACATTAGAATGACCAGGAAACATGTAAGAATATGAGCCCCACCCTCAGGGACTGGGATTTAATTAGTCACCATCCTGCCTGGACATCAGGAGTATTTCAATCTCCCAGATGATGCTGATGTGCAGGGGTCGAGAACCACTGGGCTTATGAAGCAAACTCAGGGATAAAGTAGTGGGGCCGGACCCCTCACCCTCAGCCCACTGAACTCCACCCCAAACCTCCTGCACATACGCAAACATGACCAAACCACTTATTTCCTTCGGACATACTCCTAGAAATGAAACTATGAGATCAAATGTTATAAACATTTGCTATTTTTAATGTTTAATGTGTTTATAAACATGCTTAACAAATTGCACGTTTGCAAAGGTAATTTTACCAAATTACATTTTCTCTAGCAGTGTTTGAGATTTCCCTTTCACCTTTCCCCTGGTTATTTTCATTCTGATTTTGTCGGCTGTGGAGAAGTGACACATTTTTCGCAATGTTTCGAGCTCATTTCTGTTACTATTTTGTGAATGGTTTTGTACCCTCAGGGACAGTGATCTGATCTGTTCCCTCATCTCTTTCCTGAGGACTTTGCTTAGCTCTGAGTGGATCTCTCATGGCTACTGTTATGAAGGGAATTGGCATATTTGGGGCCATCTTCAGGGTGTTTATAGAAGGCATGACTAACGCATACAATAAAGCAAAATGTGAACCACTTCTAAGAAGAAAGACGTATCACCAGGACAGATCAAAGCAGGAGAGTTCTTCCTCCATTGGGAGAAGAAAGGAAGTTTTCATGGAAGGGACATGGTGAATGTAACTCGGCCAATGAATTTGAATAGTGAGAAAAGGCTGGAAAGAAACGAGAATGTGCAGAATTCCAGGTAGCAGAGCAGCGCACGGGAGGCGGAGCGGCATCTCCCTCCTGTGTTCTCACTAAGGATCACACGCCCACATACATAGGTGTGTTTCTTTACAGGTGCCTGTAAAGAATCCTGTGTGTCTGGGCTCCGGTGTCTGATACCAAGATGGCCCACGTGCTGGAATGTTCTCTGGATGACTACGCCTCATGCTAGCTCGTCTCCACTGGCCAGATTTCCACGGTGTCAGTAACTGGTTCTCTCAGGACCTGTCCTCATGATCTTATTCACTTAATTAACTACCAACTTTCTTCTGTAGCAACCACTAGCTAAATTACAAGCAAATCTAAACTCATTTGCAAGCTTGGCAAGGGGACACCGATTGCCCCACACCACACGTGGATTTCATTAAGTGCAAAAGATGGAAGCCCAAACAGCCAGTGTACGACGGAGGGGTTCTTCATTCTGCCCAGTCCTCCTCCAGAAGGAACTCGCCCTCTGGCCTGGCAGCTGACCACACGTATCTCGCCGTGCTCTCGCACCGCGACAGCCAGGCCAAGTGACCCCAGTCTGGTCACAACAGCCTGGTTCTGGACTAGCTACAGCATCATCTTCGTGACCTATGACCCAATTAGAAAAGACAGCTGGGACAATTCAATTAATTTCCTGGGAATCTGGAAATAAGAAACTGAGCTAGTTTATGAAGGAGCTGGGTCAAGATGAATGTATTGTATTTGGAGACTGGAGCTACGGAGCCATGAGCTGTGTTCCCTTCACAGGAGGAGAGGGGACAAACCAGGTGTGTGCTAAGGTGGTGCCCAGCAGGGATGGGAGAGGTGAGCATGAAGGTGGAGAGGAAGTAATGCCCTTCTGGCCTCTGCGAGGAGGCGGCCGCTGCCTGGACCCCTGGCCATGTCTCCACAGTTCGCAGTTCCCAGGCGGCCCGTCTGCAACGAGTTCTCATTTGTAGGTCCAGGAACTTTGTAGAAGCTCCTCACCCCGCATCTTAACCTAAACTCTTAACCTAACCTAAACTCTCCGGCAGGTATTTCTGCTGCCCCCCCCCCACCCCCCTTGCATGGAACAACGAGCAGGAGGTGAAATCACCTGGGGCCCAGCCAGGAGGGAGGCGATCTGCAGGCTAGTTTCTCATTTCCTTGGAAGGATAACTCTGTTTCTTTCTTTGCCAATCACGGCCTTAGTCACTGGAAGCCCATGAAAATTCATCTTTTCCCCATTTCCCCAAGCTAACAGGAAACAGACTATTACAAAATTGACAAAGCAAAGTGGATTTCTTTGGCTCAAAAGCCAGAATTTATTTCCTATAAGTATTAGGAGCAGAACTGCTGAACTTGAAAAAGCCTCATTTCTAATAAACAAGCAGTTTTTAATAAAACATCTCAAAAGGAACCATGGGGACTTTGGGTCCAGAAGCAGGATGTGCAGAGGGTAACATCTGGAAATAGGGAATGATGCCAGAGGGAAGAAAAATGCAAGAAGAATCAGTCATCCGAAGTAGCTTTGAGAGCTTTACGACAATAATTATAATTAAATCCTTTCTCTATTAAAAAAAAAAAAGAGTGTGAAAGAGATGAGTAGCTATTATCTTTTTAAACTGGAAAATTTTTAACGTGTAACCCAGAAAAGGACAAAAGAAAAAACCAGAAAGCAGTATAAGGAGGACTAGAGCAGACATACCAAGCACTTACTCTTCTAACTGAGCTTCTGAACGCCCGAAACAGATAGGGGCTCAGCGACTGGGAATTCACTTTTGCCATGGAGGCGCTGACAGCTTCCCTCAAGGAAGACGGGTCATAGTCATACACGGGAAAACCTGGACTCATAAACACATGAGGACACCGTGAGACAGGATGCATGGATGAGGACAGCTCTGCATCATCAAGGGCAGGTGGCCTGACCCTGAACTCCTTACCTGCACAGTAGTGGAACCAGTAGTTCGTTCCAAGGACAAACATAATCAGCACCTTCATCACCATCTTCTCCATTCTGGGAAGGATCATTTCAGTTCCGATCCCAGCAGATTGTGTCTATGTGTTTGGGGGTGACCAGTCGTCCTGAAAGCAGCTCTTTATCCAGTGTGACCTGGCTTGCTCACTCCGACTTAAGCAGACTGCGGCTTCAACAGAGACAATTGATCCTGCAGTCAATATTTACTGCTGCCTTTTCCTAGGGAAAGGGTACAGTTTGAGGACGCTTTTGAAGTTTGGACCTCAACATGGGACTTTAGCCCGCGGCAAGAGCCGTCAAGAGGCGGGGACTCCGCGTGCACTGTTTGCTAATTTCATCCACATGGACGGCCTATTTCTCTTTATTTTCCTTTCATTTTTGGAGAGAGGGGATGCCACCTTACTTTCAACAAAACAGTTAATTTTACATTTTTGTCCATTTAATTCCCTCTCATATTCCTAAAGATCCTGCAGTTGACTGTTTATAAAAATTGTGTGGTTATTTCATGATCATACTGGAGATTATGACTGGAAAGGAGAGAATTTAATCTGCAGGGCTTAAATATGCCAAACAAGTTCACGTGCAATAAAGAACAGCCTCCGTGTCCACCAGCCCTCTCTTCTTACGGGCATTTTCACATCTCACTTGGATGATAAGGTATTTGCATACAGATGAGTCTCGTGCACTATAAGATCCCAAGGTAGTTTGTGAATCATTAAAAAGAAGACACACTTTATAGTAAATACAGTTGTGTTACATGCAACTCATGGTGCTCTCATTCCTTGAATTCAGTATAAGAAGCTGTAGTGTCCTGGGGCTCAGAAATACCTGGATCAGAATCCTGGCTCCATACCTGTGAGGCGTGTACCCTTGGGCATGGTACTAAATGTCTCTGAACCTCAACTCCTTCACCCATAAAGCGGGCATAAATGGTTAGATGTAAAAGTGTATTATTAGTCAGGGAGGCACAGAGAGAGAGAGAGATTGATTTTTAAAGAACTGGCTCATGCAATGGTGGAGACTTGCTGAGTCCAAAATCTGCAGCATGGGCTGGCAGGCTGGAGACCCAGGGAAGAGTTACAGTTTGAGTCCAAAGGCCACCTACTGCCACAATTCCTTCCTGCCAAGGAGATCAGTCTGTGTTTATTCCGACCTTCAACTGATTGGGTGAGGCCCACCCACAATACGGAGAGCAATCTGCTTTCCTCAGAGCCCACTGATTTAAGAGTTAATCTCATCTAAAAATTATCACAGAAACATCCACAATAATGCTTGACCAAATATGTGGGCACCATGGCCAAGCTGACACGTAAAATTAAGCATCACATAAAAATTAAATAACAAACTCTTGGAAGAATGCTTAGCAAATTAATGGCTCAATAAACAGTAACTGCTGGCAAGAATTCAATTCAATAAATATTTTTTAGTATCTGCTGTGTAAAAGGCAAGAGGTCCAGAGAACATCAAAATAAACGAATCATCTAGGTCACTCTGCTTAAACAAGGCAAATATAAGTGCCAACAAGGGAAGCATAAATTGCTATGAGAATTCTGGGAGAGGGTGGAGACTTTGGCAGTTTGCTCAGTCCTCCTGACTTTGGTGGTCTTGTGTCTCTTTGGTTAACAGATGCAGAAGTGCCCAACAGGGGAGAAGGAGACTCAGGCCAGGAAGAAAGAGCAGACAGGAAACCACTGGGAGAGAACTGCAGCCGTTTGCCAAGGATGTGGTGTGGGGCAGTGATGTTCACCAGAGGCAGGTCGGGCCTTGTTACCGACGTGGAGGAGGAGGAGGGGGGTGGGTGGGGGACAGGGGAGAAGAGATACGGGGTAGATTTAACAAGAAAGATATGCCTTACAGGAAGTGCAGTGATACAAAATTTTAATTACTGCTACTATGTAAGGCAATTTTTAATCAAAATGTTCTCTCTGCTTTGCCTGCCCTCTGCACAAACGTTTAAAATCATGCTTCCGACTTGACATATTGTCTGAATCATCAATATTTACTTCCCTCACCCAAAAGATGTTCTTCCTACAAGTCTTATTCATCAGCACCTTGGCACAAAGGTGTATTTAAAACCCCCAGAGGGGCTTCCCTGGTGGCGCAGTGGTTGAGAGTCCTCCTGCCGATGCAGGGGACACGGGTTCATGCCCCGGTCCGGGAAGATCCCACATGCCGTGGAGCAGCTGGGCCCGTGAGCCATGGCCGCTGAGCCTGCGTGTCTGGAGCCTGTGCTCTGCAACGGCAGAGGCCACAACAGTGAGAGGCCTACGTACCGCAAAAAAAATAATAATAATAAATAAATAAATAAAATAAAATCCCCAGAAAATCTCAGTGCCTAAATGCCCATTGGCCCATGCAGCATCTCTGGGTCCAGCAGCTCCTGGCCTCATCTTGGGCCACCTTCTTTCTTGCACACAGGTGTCCTGGAGTTTCCTGACCACCCACCTGAACTTCACACATCCTCTCCCCCTTCTTCAGCTCCCTGCTTCTTCCCTCCTAGCACTTAACACAAGGGCTAGTAATCTTGCTTGTTTGTTTGTTACTTTCTTTCTCCTACAGTAGACTAGAAGCTCCATAGGACAGGAAATGCGCCTGTCTCGTTGATGCCATACTGCAGTACCCAGATAGGAACACGATTAAATATTTGTTGAATGAATGAGTGAATGAATGAATGAGTGAGTGAGCACACTGGGCCTCTCTGAACCTCAATCCGAGTCATTCTGTTTGAAGCCTGCACTGATTTCTGGTGCATAAAATGTACACAAAGCCATGCCTATGAGACGATGATCACTAAGATTTGTGATTCTGTTACTCTTAACCTGGTTTGAACTCAATTCCATTAAAGTCTTCCAGATTCAACTAACCGCACCATCTGGTTCCAAACTTCAGGGTCTCATTAAATGAGCAGTAATAATGAAAGTAATTGCAAAAGAGTATAGGAGATTAAGGAGACAACAATAAAATAATGTTGCCAGCACAGGGCTATTGATTTTGCTTGTAGCTTGTTGATGCAAGGATAGACCATTTTATTTCTCAAATTCATTTGGTTATAATAAACATTGGCACTGGGCAGGCAGAGCAGCCACCAATTAGTGCTAAAAAGCGATTACTACTAAAAATATCTCTGCAGGGCTCCGTCATGTCTGGTAAACCTAGAAGATTAAATAGAAGCCAACCATTGAAATTCAAGCCATAATTATTTCTTCCATTATTCTTTTTCTGATCTGCAGAAATGTACACAGCAATAATTCCAGCAGCTTTCTGCTGCTCTAACAAAAATTATTTAGCTAAGGTGTTAAAAATTCTGTGTTGCCCCACCTCCTTTAGTAGCTCTTTTGAACACTTCAGAGAGGGAGACTCCAGGAATCTGTCCGGTGAGAGGAAGAACTTTGCTCACTTTGATTTACTGGATTTAGCCAGCATTCTGCTCTAGAGATCAGAGAGAGCTTGGAGCCGTGTGGCTGACAGGGGCTTGGTGCTCCGGCCAGGTGTCAGACCTGAGCCTTGGAGGTGCGAGAGCCAAGTTCAGGACGTTGGACCACCAGAGACCTCCCAGTCCCACATAATAACAATCGGCCACAGCTCTCTCAGAGACCTTTGTCTCAAAGCTAAGACCGAGCTCCACTCAAGGACCAGCAAGATCCAGTGCTGGACACCCCATGCCAAGCAACTAGCAAGACAGGAACACAGCCCCACCCATTAGCAGAGAGGTTGCCTAAAATCATAATAAGGTTACAGACACCCTAAAACACATCACTGGACTCGGTCCTGCCCACCAGAAAGACAAGATCCAGCCTCATCCACAAGAACACAGGCACCAGTCCCCTCCACCAGGAAGCCTACACAACCCACTGAACCAACCTTGCCCACTGGGGGCAGCCACCAAAAACAACGGGAACTATGAACCTGCAGTCTGCAAAAAGGAGACCCCAAACACAGTAAGTTAAGCAAAATGAGAAGACAGAGAAACACACAGCAGATGAAGGAGCAAGGTAAAAACCCACCACACCTAACAAATGAAGAGGAAATAGGCAGTCTACCTGAAAAGAATTCAGAGTAATGATAGCAAAGATATCCAAATTCTTGGAAACAGAATGGAGAAAATACAAGAAATGTTTAACAAGGACCTAGAAGAACTAAAGAGAAAACAAACAATGATGAACAACAAAAGAAATGAAATTAAAAATTCTCTAGGAAGAATCAATAGCAGAATAACTGAGGCAGAAGAATGGATAAGTGACCTGGAAGATAAAATAGTGGAAATAATTACCACAGAGCAGAATAAAGAGAAAAGAATGAAAAGAATTGAGGACTGTCTCAGAGATCTCTGAGACAATGTTAAATGCACCAACATTCAAATTATAGGGGTCCCAGAAGAAGAAGAGAAAAAGAAAGGGACTGAGAAAATATTTGAAGAGATTATAGTTGAAAACTTCCCTAATATAGGAAAGGAAATAGTCAGTCAAGTCCAGGAAGTGCACAGAGTCCCATACAGGATAAATCCAAGGAGAAACATGCCAAGACACATATTAATCAAACTATCAAAAATTAAATACAAAGAAAACATATTAAAAGCAGCAAGGGAAAGGCAACAAATAACATACAAGGGAATTCCCATTACATTAACAGCTACTCTTTCAGCAGAAACTCTGCAAGCCAGAAGGGAGTGGCAGGAAATATTTAAAGTGATGAAAGGGAAAAACCTACAACCAAGATTACAGCAAGGATCTCATTCAGATTCGACGGAGAAATTAAAACCTTTACAGACAAGCAAAAGTTAAGAGAATTCAGCACAACCAAATCAGCTTTACAACAAAAGGAACTTCTCTAGGCAGGAAACACAAGAGAAGGAAAAGACCTACAATAACAAACCCAAAACAATTAAGAAAATGGGAATAGGAACATATATATCGATAATTACCTTAAATGTAAATGGATTAAATGCTACAACCAAAAGACACAGACTGGCTGAACAGATACAAAAACAAGATCCGTATATATACTGTCTATAAGAGACCCACTTCAGACCTAGGGACACATACAG